TGGAGCAGTTGTCCCCAAAAAAAAAAAAAAAAAAAAGAACCAACTTGTCGGCCTCTCCCTACTTATTTGACTTCCCTAGACCTACAACATAGCAGTCACCTATGAACCTATCTTACCATCGAAACAGCAAACATCTACGGCCAAACAGTCAAGATCTGCCTACATGCTCGCACGACTGGCTTTGCAGACTTGAGAAGTTCCTTGTAAACCAATGGTCCTCTGTGTGAGGTTGGAAGCAAAACTTCACAAGGTATTCGCAGTTGGGGCATGTGTACCACTGATCCTCTATGCTTTCAACTTCATATCCCTTTCCAAAGATAGGAGGTCCAATTTGTAATGGCCTATCAGGAAATGCATCAGCGGGAGTGAAAGGCAGCAGTTTTGAGGCATGGAAGACCGGATAGGTCCTGATATAAGGGGGTATAACAAACACATAGGAGGGTCCAAATGGATCTGCCCCCACAGCATCAAACACTTGCCATGGACCGTACTAAACGGGCAACAACTTTCTTGATATGTCTTGTTCGTCGGTTAGTTCAGATCTTTTCACCAAAACCCAACGACTTGGCCATATGCGAGCGGGAGAGCGATGCTTATTAACCTATTCGATCATCCTCTTATGGGTCGTGAACATGTTAGTTCTGACTTTCTCTAGATCTCTCTTACAACTCTTTGTAAATTCTACAGTTTCAGGAACCAATCTAGGTTTAAGCTTGTCAACAAGATCATCAAGAGGTTGTCTTGGATCTTTGGCAAAGTGCAGCCTATAGGGTGTAAAGCATATAGTGTTGTGAACACATGTGTTATACATCAGTTGAGCCCTGGACAAATGTTTATCCCAGTCTTGCTGATCAAATGTGATCACAGGACGCAGCAGTTGAAACAAGATTTGGTTTATCACTTCAGCTTGTCCAATGACTTCAGGATGTCGACCATAAGTCATGTCTAGCCATCGCTGCAAAATTTGGGGTCTCTGTCGCTAACAATAGAGGTTGGGCACCCATGGACATGAACCCACCTCTCAACGAACAGCTCTCTGACTAGAGGTACTTTGGCCTCAACAGGTAAGGGAATAAACTCAACAAACTTAGAGAAACGATCAACACACACCATTACCTGTCTCATGCCGCATGGAGTAGTCTTGCCCAGATCAATGAAGCAAATGGACACAGACTCACCAGAACCATCAGGAATAGGCAAAGGTTTGAGTAGTCCCATAGGAGATCGTATGTGGACCTTTTTCCTTTGGCACAACTCACAACTCTCCAAGTACTTAAGTATATCCTCTCTCATCTTAGACCAGTAGAAGTGTTGGATCAGGGCAGCATAGATACTTAGAAACCCAAAATGACCATGAGCATCATGACATTCTAAAATAAGGTAAGTTACGATTTTTTGGTCGTTGGGAATATACAAACGTTCCTACCCCTCGCTGATCGTGTACAGCAATTCTGAGGTTAAGGCATAGTCGGGCTCCAAACTCGGGTCAATTTGCAAATTACTAACTATGGGACAAAAAATTGGGTCCTGAGGCAATGCATTTGCAATAGCCTGCCTGGTAAAATCCCCAAATGAGTAAGTATGCACAATGGCCGCAAAAGTGTCAGGTCTGCGAGAGAGTGCATCAACCACTCCATTGTAGCATCCTTTCTTGTGCTTTAGTTTAAAGTCAAAATCATTTATAAATTGAATGTACCTTGCCACTTTGTCATTAAACTCCATCTAGGTCTTCATCCACTGCAATGTGGAATGATCTGAATAGATTTTGAAATGTCTACCCAGTAAAAAGTGTTTCTATTGTTTGAGGGCACAAACTAAAGCATACAATTCCTTCTCATAGGTAGATGCCTAAATGCGCTGCACTTTTATCTTCTTCCTCATGAATTCTACTGGTTTCAGACAAGTCTCATCATCTTGCTGCAAAATTGCACTTACACCATACTAACTTGCATTTGCGGTCAACACAAATGGCAAGGTAGGGTCAGGCAGTTTGAGCATAGGTGTACGGTAAGGGTTTTCTTCAGTCTTAAGAAAACCAACTGACATGTGGGTGTCCTCCTGAAGGGGATATCCTTAGCCAACAGGTTAGTCAGGGAGTGGCGATAGTGGAAAAGTTCCTTATCAACTTATTGTAGTAGGATGCCCAGCCAACGAATGACCTGGTATCTCTGACTGTCTGAGGTTGAGGCCAATCCTTAACAGCAACCACTTTAGACACTTCTAGGGAGAAACCCTATGCAGAAATGACATGACCCAAATACAAGACAGAAAAGGCACCAAAGGATGACTTTTCTTTGTTAATTTTGTACTTGTTTTCTCTCAAAACTTGCACAACCTGTCTGAGATGGTTAGCATGATCTTCACAAATCTTGTTGAATACCAGATATGATTCATTTCAGTTTGGAAGGTACCTGATGCATTGCACAAACCAAATGGCATGACCAAATACTCATAGGCGCCATATCGGGTCTTCAAGGTTATCTTCTACACATCCTCTTCAACCATTTCAATCTGATGATACCGGGATTTCATATCAATTTTCCTGAAGACCTTGCAGCCTTGCATCATATCCAAAAGATCATCGATCCTAGGCAAGGGCTCTAAGCTCTTCCTAGTGATCTTATTCAGACCTTTGTAGTCAATGCACATTCGAGTTAACCATTCCCCTTTTGGACAAAGAGGACAGGTGCCTCATACTCAAACGAGTTGGGACTGATTCATCCCTTCTCAGTCAAAAGGACTCTAACTATTTCCTAAGCTCATCCAACTCAGTAGGAGACATTATGTACACTTTATCCTTGGGAGGGGTAGAGTTAGGAAGGATCTCAATACGATGTTTGGTCTGCCTATGAACAAGTCCAGTAGGCTCTTGAGCCAGGTCAGCAAAGTCATCAATCACTTTTTGAATGATGGGGTCACATTGAAGAGAGGATGTACCTGTTTGTGAGACATAAGCAACAAACAGATTGTTATGATCAGTCTTCTTAGACAAATTGCAAAACTTTTTTGCCTTTAGGAAATAGCAACTTGCCTTAGGATGATAGTGAGTAGCCAAGACACATGGTCTTAGCTCACCATGTGCATTCTTCAATTGAACATTGGGCAGGCCCCAGTCAATTAAAGGGTTGGTGGCTTTAAGCCACTTCAGACTCATGACCATGTCAAAGGGAAGGTGAGGAAACACATAAAAGTTAAGACTCTGTTTGACCTCCTCCTTAGTATCAAAGGTGACTTGAACACCTTTGATCACCTGTTTGACTATGACTGACTTAGAGTTACCAATCTGAATCTTCAAAGGGTGCTCCATGTCTGAAACTTTGATACCCCAATGGAGTTTATGAAGAAATGAAGTTCCTGGTGGCTCCACAGTCCAACAGGGCTTTCAGTCGGGTCTATTGATGAGTGGTTTGAGAAAGATCAATTCTGTTTTCACCTTCCTTTTATCTTTCAACTGAAGGAAGAGGGAACAAAGCTGATCAAACTCACCCTGAGACAGGGGTTCCTCTACAAGGGGCTCAATGTGTGAGTACAATGAGTCTGCTGCAGCCTCAATGGGGGCTCGCACAAAAGGAGATAATTCAGTTCAACAGGGGTGGCTGCAACCTCTGCTGAACTTTGGAAACCCCACACCTCCGTGTTTTTTTTGTTTTTTTTTTTTTGACAGACAAACGACAATGTGGCATACAAAAACAGATAAAATTTGTAGACGATAGGGGGGATGAAAATTTTGGGAAAACTTTGTAGACGATAGGGGGGTTGAAAAATTTGGGGAACCCCCTCAATTTTTTTTATTTTTTTTTATAACTTTTTAACATTTTCATATATATTTGTTGATTGATTGATTGATTGATTGCTTCGGGTGGGGTCGCAACCCAAGCACACACCCCAAGCACACACACACACACACACACACACACACACACACACACACACACGGGGGGAGGGGTTCCTGCCGTTCGGCAGGCAACCTGATTCCATGGCCATTTTATTTTATTTTTTTTGCGAAAAAATGCGGAGTGCAGAGAACCACCCCTCTGCAATGCGTTCAAAAAAGAAAAAAAGAAAAAGGAGAAAAAAAAAAACACGTTCGGGCCAAACTTGGGGTGGGGTCAAACAGTCGGAAGTCCGGGCTCAGGCGGTCGGCCCGAACCGAACGCCGGCCCTGACAAAACCCTTTTTTTTTTTTTTTTAAGCCAGGAAATGGGCCTCGGGTGAGGTCCCACCAGCAGGGAGGATTGGATTTAATGCCCTAATCTGGACATGCTTGTTGAGAAGTGCAGAAGATCTCCATTGACGTACTTTTCTGCATCTCTCCAGAAAGCCCATCCAGATTCAGGCGGTTCATCCAATCCTCGATGCTAGTGGGACCTTGCTCCTGGCATCCATACTCCTTAGGTGTCCCCACATCTTGGATCTGCTGCCTGCAGGACGGTCCTTTTTTTCGCAGATTCCCTCATCAATACCCTTCCTCCTTCCTTCTTCTCCTTCTCCTTCTCATGAGCTGTTGAAATACAGACCCAAGTTTGAATCCACATGCAATCAGATGAACAGAAGAAAATAATTCTGAATTTCCTTGAGCTGGTCAGTTCAATAATTATACACAAGGCCATCACCAATTAAACATTAAAAAAAAAAAGGAGGAATCGAGAGCCTACCTTCACTGCCAGCTGCTTCCCCGAATAGAACACATGCGCATTATTATGGTTATACTTGACTCTCCAAAGCTTGCTTTCACTACGTTTCTCAACTTAAACGTGAGTCATCAAAAAAAAAAAAAAAAAAAACTGAGGCACTACCATGCCCACGTGTCACACCACCATGCCAGATGTGTGTGCCCCCACTTAGCTGCTACCCTCTTTCCGTGAACAGAACGTACCGTCATTATGGCTGCATCTAGGCTGAAAATTCGCCCAAATACAACTATAATGACCTTAGCAAGTCTTAAAAAAACAAAAAAATACCGTCATTATGGCTGCATCTAGGCTGAAAGTTCGCCCAAANATAATGACCTTAGCAAGTCTTAAAAAAACAAAAAAATACCGTCATTATGGCTGCATCTAGGCTGAAAGTTCGCCCAAATACAACTATAATGACCTAAGTAGGTCTTTAAAATAAAAAAAAAAATAAAAAAAACTGGGAGACAACCATGCCCACCTGTCACACCACCATCCCCGATGTGTGTGCCCCCACCCCGCAACTACCCTCGTTCCCCGAATAGAACGTACCGTCATTATCGCTGCATCTAGGCTGACAGTTCGCCCAAATACAGCTATAATGACCGTAGGGGATAGATGGTAATTCAAGAAAGCCAGCCCCTTGGATGCATCAATTCAAGCGAAAAAAACAAAAGGAAAGAAAAAAATATCAATTCATTTTTTTATCTTCTTACTTACAACTCCCCCTGTTCAGAACCTCTTGCGTACAAGCCCGCCCACGTAGATGTGGTTGAGCGGCAGCTGCCCCCACCCCCGTGTGTCATATCTACCCACTTGCACACAGCCAAAAGGCAAAGAGGCAAAGAAGAGAGGAAGGGAACAGCCAAATATAACAGAACAGGGGGAAACAAACATAGCAAATCCTAGATGACAAGTCCCACATGCAAGCACCGCCCCCTACATCACAGGCCAAACAATGGGACAATGACCAACCAGGATATCAATCAACATCCTTGCCTGCAAAAAAACAATGCCAGTATCTGGTGGGCAAAAATGTTGATTGATATCCTGGTTGGTCACTGGCATTGTTTTTTTGCAGGCAAGGATGTTGATTGATATCCTGGTTGGTCATTGTCCCGTTGTTTGGCCTGTGCTGTAGGGGGGGGTGCTTGCATGTGGGACTTGTCATCTAGGATCGGTTATGTTTGTTTCCCCCTGTTCTGTTATATTTGGCTGTTCCCTTCCTCTTTCTTTGCCTCTTTGCCTTTTGGCTGCGTGCAAGTGGGTCGATATGACACACGGGGGTGGGGGCAGCCGCCGCTCAACCACATGCACGTGGGCGGCCTGTACGCAAGAGGTTCTGAACAGGGGGAGTTGTAAGTACGAAGATAAAATAATGAATTGATATTTTTTTGTTTCCTTTTGTTTTTTTTCGCTTTTGCGCTCTGTTAACTTTGTGACGAGAGAGAGAGAGAGAGAGAGAGAGAGAGAGAGAGAGAGAGAGAGAGAGAGAGAGAGAGACGGACAGACAGACAGACAGAGAGACAGAGACAGGCAGAAGATCAAAGCAGCAGCAGCAGCAGCAGCAGCAGACAGGGAAGCAGCAGCAGGAGGGGGCGTGGGAGGAAGGGAGGGAGAGGGAGGATAAATGGTCCGAGGAGGAAGACGAGTGGATTGCTAGCGGGAGCAAGAGGACAGGAGAGCGATGACGTAGGAGGGATGCTGGTTCTCTCTTCGTCGCGATCCAGGCAGGCGGCGCGCAGTAAGACAACTGGATCGGCCTGAAGTGGAGGGAGGTGGACGCGTGCACACACACAAGTTGACATACAATGAGGAGGAAGGAGGAGCAGGAGGTGCAGGAGTGGGAGGAGGGGATGAAGGGGCGGAGGGAGGAGGAGGTGAAGGAGAACGAGAGGCAGGAGAAGCAGAAGGAATCGCAGAAGCGGCAGAAGGAGGGGAAGGAGGGGAAAGGAGAGTGGGGGAGGGAGGTCGACGAGGAGAAGATGGAGATCAGAAAGCAGGAAAACGTGAGGAGGAGGTAGAGAACGTGACGGTGGGGGGGATCCAAGAGGTGGAGGAGGTGGAGGAAGACATAGAGGATTGAAAGATGTACCGAGAGAGGCAAAGAAGGACGACGCGGATGTTGAGGTTCAGGATGAGGAGAAGGAGCAAGTGGTGGTGGAGGAGGTGGAAATGGGTTTAGAGAGCACGAAAACGTGAGGAGCAGGAGGTGAAGGAGGAGGAGATGAAGGAGGTGGGGGTGGAGGAAGACGTGGAGGATGTGAAAGATGTAGAGAAATAGGTAGAGTAGGACGACACGGAGGAGGATGAAGAGGATGGGGAGGAGGAGGAGGTGGAGGTGGAAGATGCGGAGGAGATTGAGGAGGTGGAGAAGGTGGAGGACCAGAAAGAATTGGAGGAGCACAGGGACGTGAAGCAGTAGCACGATTATGGTAGAGTGGCAGCAGGCGGAGGTTGAGAAGCAGGAGACGCAGGAGGAGACGGCGAAGACGTTCAGTAAGGCTGCCAAATTCCCTTCCGTCGTAATCTACCGTCTTCCCTAGAACACAACGTGCCCTCGTCAGGAACGTATACACGTCATGTTTCGAGTCCGATACATTCATGATGAGGGGGGGTTGTGTTCGGAGAAGAAGGTAGCGAACTGGCGCACAGCAGAACAACTAGATCGTAATAACATAGTATGACCGGCGAAGAACGAGGAGATGCAAAGCTGCTGGCTTGCCCTCGACCCTGGATCAGAATGAGCAGCAGTAATTCATCTGAATGTTGCTGACATCACTGGCCAACGGCGCACTCTCTCTCTCTCTCTCTCTCTCTCTCTCTCTCTCTCTCTCTCTCTCTCTCTCTCTCTCTCTCTCTCTCTCTCTCTCTCTCTCTCTGT